AAAGATATCTTGGTCTTAAAGCTTGTTCTCGTTGCTGCAGGGTGGTTAAGGACATCTATATTTTAATGCTAAACTCATTATGGTCGTGTATTTGCTTTAATAAACCTTTACCCTGGAACAAGCTCAAAAGCTAAGTAAGAGGACCCTTCCATCTTCTTTTTCTCGTTGAGGGGATTGACGGGATGGTGGGTGGATATCCACCATAATCACTTCTTTAACAAAAGATTAGCTATTGAAATGATTGTACCATCTGGGGGGTAGTTACTTTGCCATTTCCCTCTAATCAAAGTAAATTAGTAAAGCTTGTGCACAGAAATTAAGGGGCTTTTGGTCGCCCTATTGAAATAGAATGGCTCTCCATATCTTTTAGGTGACATGAATCAACTAATCATCCTTGTTTAGTAGTATTCTTGTGACAAAAAAATAATGGAAATTGCTCTTAAGTTTACAATGGATGGAAGTGTGAACTAATCATTGACTAGAAATCTACATTAAATTGAATTTGGATATTATGATTTACTTATTCATAAAAAACAACCTCCGATTTTAAAATAATTGTTGGACTTCCGATTATTGTATGATGGGCTGATAATACCCATTTAAGGGTTTGAATTGCAGCTTGTGCTTAGCTGGGCTTTGTGGAACAACATTGGACTCAATTGCGCTGCAGGTCCTGTGTCAGTGGAAAATTACTAGCAATGCAATACACTCAGACCTCCAATTAGGCCAGAGAAAAATGAATAGAAAAGAATAAAAATAAATAAAAAATCAAAAACATATAACACACATCAAGTATATCAATCAAACAGAGTTTTAATAAGGTTCACTAGTTAACAAAAAAAAAAAATCAGATTTGAAGTGATAATGTCTCTTTATTCTATGTTTTCAGTGTTGATTAAAGACATAAAATGTCCTAGTAAAGGAATAAAGGTACCCTTCGAGTGCATTCCCCGTCCAAAGTTGCTTCCTGCATTGTGTTCTGTTTCCATTTGATCACCCCCTTGTTTGGGCTTTAGACCCAGACTGGTACTCCTAAAATGATCAAATGTTTGAACCCTGTTTTTTCCAAGTTGATTTGCAAAGAGAGGAGACCCTTCGATTAGAATTATTGATTGGTAAGCATGTTCTGGGAAGAGCATATATTGACCAAGTCAATATACTTAACGTAGGTAGGCAAACAATACCATCACTTGTCGCCGCATCTTCTCTAACGTGGCGTGCAAATCGGTTTCAATGTTGGATAAGGCTAAGCCAGAAAGTTGAATCGGATACAATCGCTCTTTTTAAAGTTTGTTAAATGGGAACACCGACAGTTCTCATTCTTTGGGGATGGAAATGAATTAAAATAGAACTCCTTCACTTTTCGTTGGTAGAAGAAACAAGGGTGCGATCTTCATCAACTTTTCAACGTTTTTATCAATGCCAATCGATTTTATACTTGTAAAATATTATATTAATTAATCATATTTTATGTTAAATATATTACAGAATATATAAGGTATTGTTTTATTCATAAATTTATTTATAAAGAGTTATGAAGGACTTACATAGATAAAATCTTTAGAACATAATGGTATTGTAAATAAATTATAAAATTTATAATCATGAGATTTTTATGCATCAAAATCTTATTTTATGTTCTTAGTTATTGTATTATTAAGAATAAGGACATTGACAATGCTTAAAGTTTGGTACATGCTATGACTCCTTAAGCAAAAAATTGATTTGAAGAATATGAGATACTTGGAGATAGTATGTGGGTGCTTGTTAATGAACAAATTCACTGAACATGATCGGCTATGAGAGTTCCATTTAATATTTCACTCAAGTGTTTATGAAAATACTCTCATATGTCAATAGTATAAGTAATCATTAAACTTATGATATTACGTTATCTTGTATGTGAATTATCATGTTTTGATTTCACCTCTACAAGTCTGGAGATGAACTGATGCTTAAACAAGGTATTTTTGCATATGGCATGGAGTATGTGAGGATGAATAAGTATTCTAGAGAGGATTCATGACCGGTATGGCAAGAAGTATGGGAAGATAAATGAGTATTTCAGAGAGGATTCATAACCCAAATTATTTGAAGGGGACATATGTCATTTGTTCCTAACTTATATTGATTAAAAGCCCTTAGCCAAAGCACTATTGATAAGTGAATATAGAAGTTGCAAAACTATTATGGATAAGTTAGAAAGTAGACACTAGGCTAAGCTTCTATCTATTGGGATATATGATGAAATGATCGAATTACATTGAGATATTGTACACTGATAGGTTAATTAAATCATATTGACTCTCCTGACATTAGGGTGGTCATGATGTATTGCTAGATGTTACTCATGATTTATAAATATAAAATTTTAATTGAATTAATTTATATTTATTGCAAACATGTTGAGGACTTAATGGGTCATAAGGTGAACTGTCGAAATTAATTTGAGTTCAATTGGATGTAATCTAATTGATTTTATAGAGTTTTAATCAATTAAGTATTGGATTGAATCAAATATGATTTGATAGAATATTATATAAAGGCCTAATTAGGTCATGACATTTTAAAATCCTAGTTGGATATAAAGTAAGTTAATTCATTCTATAAAAGAATTCCTTAACCGTCTCTTGTACATAGAAAAATTTTATTTTATTTTTTCATGTGTTGAGAAAAGATCACAGCCAAAAAGAGAGAAATACAAGGGAATTCAAAGTTGAGAGGTTGCTAACACAAACTTCAGCTTGGGGATTCACACACTCTTAGTGAAAAGATTTGAACAAATCAGCATGTGGACCACCATTAGAGATAAGACAACTGTGCTGTTGTGGTTTGATAAGTCCTAATTAGTGTACATAAGTTAAAAAAAAAACCAAGAAAGACTCTACCTCTAGATTAGTTTCAACTAAAGTAATCCATAACTTAAAGAATTAAAATTTTAATAATATTTTACTACGTATGAGTTGTCTTAATATGATTTAAATCGTTAATGCATGGAACTTACATACAAGTTACAATAGTATGCATGCTCAACTATCTCTTCATGTTCAGGGTCAAAACTCATAACCCTATGCCTATCTACTCTAAACCAGAAGGCAACAGTAAGAAAAAATGGAGATAGTGAATTATTCAGCTGCTGGTTTAATGTGTGCATGCCTTCATAGTTAAATTACCAGGACTAATTATTTTGAGTAAGATGGGCAACTCCCACCATTACAGTTGGAGCTTTTGTCCTCGTCTTCATGTGGAATCTAATTCCTACCTTCCACCCGTTTTTCCTGCCTAATTCCTAGTGTTTCCTTTTTGTCATTCAAAAACGAATCCAATTCAAAGTTCATAAAAGCTTTTTACTTTTTTTTAAGCTTTCAAAAATCGAATATTATATTATTCAAAAGGAAAATGACACTAAAATGTTTGATTAATTGATTGATGCATAATTTTTTTATTTAGAGAACAAAATTTAAATTTTCCTTACCTCAATTATAAAAAAAAAAAGAAAAAAATGAAGATTGAATTTTAATATTGAACTAAATTTTCAGACGAATTGATCATGATGTGCCTTCCCTAAACTACATATTTGTGCTAAGCTTTGTAGCATTATGTAATTAATTTGATCAGCTAGCTCTAAAATGTACTAATTTATATTCTCTAGCATGGTACTTTCCACTCGAATTCGTTGATAAAACTATAGACTATATACTATATACTACCACATTAGTCAAAATCTGCATTCCTTCCCATGGGAATCAATATTTTTATGATCATAACAATATATGTACATGATTTTAAATTATTATTACTAGCTTTACAGATTGGTAAGAAATCTGAAAGCGGGTTTTCTTTTTCTCTTTTTTCAAACAAATACACAACAAGCCGACACGTTTTCCTCCTCTACTTATTAGAAAGGAAGCCTGGGCTCTTCTTCCTCCATCTACAGCACAAAGCCAGCATTAATGCTTCACATGTGTGCATTAGATAAACATTATTATTATTCCCCAGTAATTATTGATTAAATTTGTATTTTCAATACCCAAAAATAAAACAAGTTGCAATATCCAAATTGTTGTTCTATTTGGAACCTTAGGGCCCAATATTTTCAATTGCTTAATGAGCTCAGTTAAGATATTTCATATTGAACTATAT